CAGGATGGATCTCACATAAAGACACAGGGCTGTCCCTCATACCGGAGGTGCAAGACCCTAGTGCCGGGAAGTGGGCGGCTGCACCGTTGGAGCCCAGTGCCCTCTCCCAGTCTCAGCTCCTCACTGCCCATCATCCTCTCTGCACTGCCTCCCGCCCCATGTCCCACCACAGCAGAACATGCCATCCACGTTGTTTCCTCCCCGGCTCCCGAGTCGGCCCTGTGTCGCTGCTGTGCACGCTCCATCCCGCAGGAGCCGCACGAAGGCCTCCTCCCATACTGCTTGCTCACATCCGTCCTCCATGCCAAGTGTCCCTCAGTTCTCCGTGGGAAGCGGTTTGCAGACGCTTTGTGTTTCCCTCCCGTGTGTTCGCTTCCGGAGTGTTCCGCTTCCCGTGTGCTTCCATTCCCTTTGTGAATCTCCGAGAGTTCAGCACCCAGCACTTCACGGACGTTCTGGCATCTGTGGTCTGCTCGGTGACTGGAGTCAGCTGAGCACCTGCTTTGTTTTCTTTCTTCTTTGTTTCAGATCTAGCTACCGTGATTTTATTAGTGCCATATAAATTTGAGCTCATTTTTTTCTTCTTTTTTGGGGGGTAGAACTGTCACAACGTTGGCTCATAGGAAGTTTTAAAATCTTCACGTATTGTTTCAAAAGAGGAAAATTAATTTTTAATTACAATGCACTATTTATTAATCATAGAAAATTCCCGGAGAGAAAAACAAGACACACAAGGATAAAGACAAGAGTAACAACTTCATTGTGGCTTTACCTCTTTTGGGGGCAACCCTGGGGATTGACACCTGCTAGCCAAGTGTTCTGCTGCTGTGCCATGCTTCCAGCCCTTTTGAAAAAAAAATTTAATTTTATTGGTACAATTTAGATATACATAATAATCACATTCATCATAGGGAATTTGTACCTGTACATGATATATCTTCATTCCTCTTTTTTTCCATTCCCCTCCCCTCCCCTCCCCTCCCCTCCCCTCCCCTCTCGTCCTTATTTTTTTTGTTTGGTACTGGGGATGGAACTTGGGTTCTTGTGCTTGCGCAGCAGGTGGCAAAGCCACTGAGCTAAATCCCTGGGCCCCCTCCTTATTTACAAAAGCCCTGTTTCCATTTTTTCCTTTTCTCATTTTTTCTTTTTCCTTCTTTCCTTTCCCCCTCTCCCCTCTGTAGTTCCCACTTCCTTTTGAACAATTTTTTCTTATTTCAGATTGTCTGTTACACATTTTGGTCCCTATTTACACTCAGTTTCTTACACCAGAGAGACAATGCGATATTTACACGTGTCCAGTTTATTTCACTTAAGCGTATAGCTTCAAGGTGCATCCATTTTACTATAAATGTCTCAAGTTTATCCTTCTTTATGGCTAAGTAATAATCCATTGTATAGGAAAACCACATCTTTTTTTATCCATTCATCAGCTAATGGGCATTTGGGTGAACTCTTGAGGACATAGGGGTAGGCAAAGACTTCATGAACAAAACCCAGACTGCATGGGAAATAATCCAAAGAATCAACAGCTGGGATCTCATCCTATTAAAAAGCTTTTTTTACTTTTTTTTTTTTGTACTGGGGATCAAACTCAGGACCTCATACTTGCGAGGCAGGCAAGGTGCCACTGAACTAAATCCCTGGCCCTCCGGAATTATGCTTTTTGTTGTTGTTTTGGTACTGGGGGATTGAACTCAGTACCTCGAGCTTGCCAGGCAGACACTGTGCTGCCCAGAGTTGCTGGCTCCACTCGTAGCCAGCTACACTGGTCCCTCCCTGGACTTCATCTGAAAAGCGAGGAAGGGGTTGCACGACTGTAGCAGATGCTGTGGCTCCCTGCTTCAAGACGGAGCCACTGGCTGCTGACAGGTGCGGGAGGAGGAAGTTTCTATCACCTCCAGGCATGTGGCCCAAGCCAGGGTCAGGCTGATGAGGAAGTGTAAAGACCCAACCCCCTGGTCTCAGGTGAGCCACTCTGCAGAGCCATCCTGAGGGGCTGGCCTGGGACCTAGTTCACTTCCTCCCTCTGCCCATTTCTACTTCCTTCTTGCTTCCTAGATGAGATCCCAAGGAGCTGTTTCCTGGAGACCCAACCAGCACAGGCTCTCTTCTCAAGACCTCTCGACTCTCTCAGGCTTGAAGAGCCTTCCCCTCTGCCTCTCCTCCTATTCATACTTCGTTCACTGAGCAAGCCATCACTGTTCCCCCACTATGTGCCGGGCCCCGAGCTCAGCCTGGGGATTCCAAGAAATTCCCATTCTCCAGTAGCGGAAAGAGGCCAAGCACTTTGGAGCTTGATGGCTCCTCTGTCTCTCTGTGACTTGTGTGTTGGTTGGTTGGTTTTTTGAGATAGGGTCTCACTTCGTAGTTCAGGCTGGCCTTGAACTCACAGGGATCCTCCTGCCTCAGCCTCTTGACTGCTGGGATTTTTGGATGTGCTCCACCAGGCCCACCCTCTCAGCCACTAGTCAACACTATACTGTTTCCCATCTTCTTGCTCTGCCATGAACAGTGGCTGTTGGTCCTACCCTGTCATATTTGCAAGGCCCTTCTCTGTAGGACTTTAGACTTCCTGACCCTGTCCTTGAGTTCGTGCCTCTCTTTTATTCCTTTCTCAGCTCCCAGGTCCTCCCCAGCTCTTCCGGCCGGGGTCAGTCATTTTCATTTTTTATTTGAATAAGACTGAATCATCATATACCTTTTCCAGGAATCATCACATTGTAAATTTTTTCTTTCTATTGATTGACTGATATAGCCTGTGCTGGCGATCCTCCTGCCTCAGCTTCCTGAACGCTGGGTTACCACGCCAGGCTTAAGCTTTTTCTGAGATGATTGCAATGTGAAACACTTCCTCCCATTGACAAGGCATCGACAGGCATTAAGAAAGCTGAGGGCCCTTTTTCAGCCTTTATGATCACATCCTGTCCAAGAGCTTATGGCTGAACAGATGTAGCAATCTCACTTAACAACAGGAAGGACCCAAATCCAACAATCTGATCACACAGATAAGGAAACCAAGAAACAGTGGGGTCAAGAAGCTTTTCAAGGATTACACAACAGGAAAAGAGGGCACCTCCAACAAGCAAAGACTGTGTGAGGAAAGACTCTGCCTGTGGGGAGGTACTAATTTCTGAATGCTGCCTTGATCAATGCTGCCTGATCAATTATTCAAGGAAGTGCACCTATTTTTTTTTTTTTTTTGAGACAGGATCTCTGTGTAGCCCAGGCTGGCTTTGAACATGGGGATCCTCTTGCCTTGAGTAGCTGAGATTATAGGTACGCGCCATCCTGCCCAGCTGAACCTATTCTTATTAGTCACCCCGCTTTTACCTGCTATTTGTCCACAGTGGGTAAAGACCAGCCCTGGGTGCCCTGTTTGATTTGCTTAGGAGTAAGATATAGTGGACCCTTGGTTTACAAACTCAGTTTGATCTCGAGGGTTGGTTGTAACTCAAGTTGGTCAATTGAAGGCTCAGGATCCTCTACACAGTCCTCACAGTCTCTCCTGTACACAGGCAATCTCAGTGTCCTTAGAGAGACACTGGCCCAGGATTTCTCAGTCAACCCCACACAGGAAAGGATGCTGTCATGTTCCTTCCAGAACTCTCTAAGGGTTAAATCTGTATCTGAAGCACAAGCTTCATTTGTAAGCACAAGCTGGCATTTGGGGTGTAACTCAAAACCTTGTTCATAAGTTAAAACTAAAATTTCAGTCATTACCCAAGTAGTTTGTATGTCAGGTCGGTTGTAACTTGAGGGTCTACTGTAATCCAGGATCCAGTCCACCTGAATCCACCACTAACGAGCTGGCTGACCCAAAGCACCATTTCACTGCTGAATCCTTATTTTCCCAGCCTGGCCTTGCTCCTACAAACTGTAGGGAGCTGGGGAGTCAAGGCCCACAAAACCTCTCAGCTGGCTCAGTCCGCCTGACAAGGAACCCTTTCCACTCACCCCACCAGGGCACTGGATTGTGTGAGGACCAGGGGTGAGGGATAAGAGTGGATCGCTGTGTAAACTCCTCAGGGGATTAGGGTGCACAGCCAAATGTGGAGACCTCCGAAGAAGGATAAAAGACAAACAGGAGAGGAAAAATAAATTACTGCTAGCTAAAAAGGACTTAGATTATGCGAACATTTTAAACTCACTATAGAGCGGCCAAACTGAGGCGCAGTGAAATTGCTTACACTTTTCAAGGCATCCAAAACCCCAATGCAAGTCATTTCCTTCTCTCAGGGAAGATGTTTATTACTTCAGTGATATTGCTTCCTTATTTAGCAGCACACACACACACACACACACACACACACACACACACACTGTAAATCATCTCTATTTATCTGTGTGCTGAAATTTTTGTTAGATTCTAAGTCATGTCTTTTGTGCTTTACCCTCTAAGTCAGCATTGGCGAACCTTTTAGAGCTTTCAATGATACAAATAGCCCACTGCAGCACCCGTGCCATAGGTTCGCCACCACTGCTCAAAGTGATCTCCCTGGCCCTAGCCGAAACACTGATCAGCCCAGCGAAGGTCTCCAGAGTGGTACGTGACACAGGCCAGTCCTTCAGGACAGCCTCCGGGAGCCCCACTTCTCTGGGTGATGGAGTGGCCTCAGCAGACCCCCGGGCGCTGTAGGACTCTCCTCCGAAGATCTAGGTGATTGTCACTGATCACCACCCTCCAGGACCCAGCGCTTCTCTTTGGCATCCTGGGGCAGGACGCCATCGGAAATGCTGCAGGGGCCGTGACATGAAAGCACACAGGTCAGAGAGAGAAGCAGGAACTTAGGGGACTTCATCCGGCTCGTGGGACGCCAAGGCTAGCAGCAGTTCTGTCTGCCTCGGGCTCCTCCCCCTTCTGGGCGGGCTCCTCCTTCCTCAGCAGAGCTTCTTTCTCCCCGCACCCGCACCGGCTTCTCTGGAGGCTGCTGATCAAAGTTCCCGTTGTCAGGGCCACAGGCTGGACACATGACATGTGACCCTGGCTTGCCATAGTGACTTCCCACTTGCCAGACACAGAGATTGGTGTGGGAAGTCACCCAGAACCAAAGAAAACAAACAAAATATCAAGCATTTTTGTAAATAAAAGCCAAGGGGAGGCTATCTTTATTTCTGGTCACAGAGCTGTGTGAACATGGCGCCGGAGCTGGGGCAGACACGGCTGCCACCCAGAAGGAGGAAGAAAGGCGACAGCCAGCCAGCGATGGAACAGGAAAGAGCAGGCTCCGCAGCATCGCACTCCCAGGTCTGACTGTCCTAAGGGTTTCAGTGACTTTTTGTGAGTCTTTGAGCTTCCCTAGGATTTGCCTCAAAAGTCTCTTTTTCACTTAAACCAGGTTTGCCTGCCCCTCGTTCCAGGGAAAGAAACCAAGGCCTTTGCCCTGAGCTACATCCCCAGTCCTTTCTTTTTTTTTTTTTTTTATTTTGAGACACAATCTTGCTAATCACTATGTTGCCCAAGCTGGCCTCAAACATGATTCTCCTGCCTCAGCTTCCTGGTGTGCTGGGACCACAGGCATATGCCACCACACCACGCCTGTGCAGATTTCGAATTTCTTTCCTGCAAACCAGAGTCCTGAGAACAGAACACTCCAACAGCTTCCCTCTTCACCATACCCTTTTCTAAAAAAATTGAAGCCTTACATGTCTAAGAATGGAACCTGCCCCATCTTTCCCTGATGAGCATCAAGTTGTTCTCTTGTCATCTTGGTTATGTTGGGAGCTACATTTTCCAGTTCCCCTTGCCTGTGTGGCTCCTTGGAGACTCAGTGTGGTGGGGCGTGGTGTGCTGGCAGTGAAGTGCTTGTCCTCACCTTCCCTGCCCTGTGACCACCGGCCCTGCTGACCAGCACTGACCCCTCCTGCGTCCCCAGATGCCACCAAGAGCCTACATCCTTTCGAGGACGGCCTTGGGCCTGCCTTGCTTTGTGGGAGTCCCGGGCCAGGCCAGGCACGGCTACTACAGACAGCTAAGTCAGGCAGCAATGAACGGCCGCTCAACAAGGGACCGGCCCTGGCAGGCGTCAGCACAGAAGGCAAGACATCAGAATCGCGGCTGGAGACAAACTGGAAGCGCGCCAGGCCTGCAGCCTCCCTAGAGATAGCAGCTTGAGGTCCCGGTGTCATCGGCACTGCCAGGCCAGGGGGCCTAGATAAGGTGGCAGCTCAAGGTGGGCGACCCAGACTCCCCCCGCCTTCCCGAAAGGCCTTCCATCTTTCTACATCAAAAGTTGTAGAGAAGATAAAGTTAGTGATGCCCTCCGTATCCCTGTCGGATCAGTGTGGCCTCAGCGTGGCCCGGAGCGGCCTGAGACGTGGTCACGTTCATGTGTGAAACCCCCGGACAAGGAGCCGCGGCACATCCCACGTTGGGGAGCCCTCTTGTGTCTCCGGAGCTTTCTCTCCGTAGGCTTCTCCCACTCCTAACCTCCTTGTCCATTCTTGGTTATTGAGAGTCGAGAACTCAGCACGTGTGCTAGCTAACGGGCTGTGGTCCCCAAGTCCTCTCCTCCGGTCTCTATTCCCCAGCCCTCCCTGCTCATGTGAGATCCCTCCCAACCAAGTCGTCATTCCAGGGCCCGAGTCGGGGCCCACGCTTGGGTCAGGCCTGCCCCATGCCGCCGGCTTGGTGACCCCTGCTGAGGCTGCTCTGCATCCTCCCTGTTTCCTGATCCACGCTCTCCTTCTTTCTCTGTCCTCCCCTCTCCCTAGTCACTGAGTCTGTCCTTCGGCCCTTGAGTCTGTTGTGGGGGATGGGTTGAGCACTCGCCGTGTGCGTCCCAAGCGCCCCTTCTCTCTGGCCTCTGCCTGTGCACACTGCCTCCTGCTCCCTGTTCCCCTTTCCAGGCCTGCGTCCGGCAGGTGGCCTGAAGGTGTCACACAGCCTGGCCCCAGGAGAGACCAGTGCCGAGCTTCCCACTCGTGATCTCCTAACAGGAAGTGTTGCTGTGGGAGGAAACGTGCTCTGGATGAGAACTCATGGGCCACTGCACGTTGCCCAGAATAGATGCGAAATAAATATTTTATGAACTGAATGAACAGAGTATAAACTACTTGGGTTGCACATTAACAAGAAGTCTTTTAAATCAGCATGGTGCTTTGTTGGCCTGTGGAATGGTGCGTTCATGGCCCTGAAATCGACACTGTATTCTTGAGGGCCTCAAGGTCTGCTCCAGCTCAGTGACAACAGCTCAAAGTCCACAGCTACTGACCCCAGCCCAGCCGCTGCTGGATGTGAGTGGGCTGAGTCAGTGGGCCTCTCCAGGCTCGGGCTAGGCTATCTGGATCAATGAAACAAACAGAGAATGATTTTTTTTGTTTTTTTGAGCCAGGGCATCACGATGTAGCCCAGGCTGGCCTTGAACTTGGAGCAATCCTCCTGCCTCAGCCTCCCTAGTGCTGGGATCACAGGCGTGCATCACCACACCTGGCCAGGAATAACTTTTAAATCAGAGTGTTTTAGGCTTGGAAGCAACCTTAAAGATCATCCTTAATCAGGAACACTGGTCTTGTTTATCTCTGTCTCACCCTCTGGCTTCACTGGGCCTGTCCCTTAGCTGGGATCTTATCATACACACTGCCCCCTCTCTGAGGGTAATGCTGGGACCACCAGGCCTCTGTCCCAGAGTTGGGACCAGTGTCTAATAGCAGAACTCTCTTCATACAGAATCAGGACCCCTAACTTTAAAAAGGACCTTGCCAGGCCAGGGATTTAGCTCAGTGGTTCTGCTCCTTGCCTTGCAAGCACAAGGACACGAGTTCAATCACCGGTACCAAAAAATAAAATAAAATAAAATAAATAAAAAGGACCTTGCCGCCCATGTTGACATGTGACGTGAATAGGGGAGCAGAGCCATCGGTAGATGAGGACTGGAGATCTTTTTTTTCTTGGTATCAGGGATTGAACTCAGGACCTTGTGCTTGTGAGGCAGGCTGCTGAACCACAGAGCTAAATCCCCACCCCAAGGACTGGAGATCTTAAGACACACAAGAAGAAAATTTATTGCCAACAAGAATACAGTGGGCAGCTACCATACTAGGTGTTCAGCTTGCTCTGTGCACTTTCTGTGTTAATATTTCATCCTCACAACGACCATGAGGTCGTGTGCAGCTTACAAACCAGGGCACTTTGTCCAGCAACCTCAGGTAAAATCCTCATGTTGCACAATTGTAGGTGGTGGATTCAGGATGCCAGACAATTTAGAGTGACGGGAACCTCTGTTCCCTCTCCATGCATGACCCTTTCCCTCTGTACTTGCCTCCGCTCCTGTTGATGAAGAGGATTTTTCTGTTTCCTGGTAAGAAGGGAACCGGAAACCAAGGCTTCACATCACCCCATCACTCATCAGTGGTGGGCTGGGTACCTTTATGATTAAGCAGTGAACGTCTCTTGCCCTTGTGCAGACTCTGTGACCCACTGGCATGCAGAGCCTGCTGGCCACTGGGGCTGCGTGGATTCTGCCAGGCCACGGAAATCAAGGCCAGGTGTTCTGCCCAGAGAAGTCAGGCAGCAGAGGCCCAAACTTGAGGTTGGCTTGATGAGACTTATTACTTGGTTCTGCTACAGATCACATGCACCTCGCATCTGTCCTCGGTGCCTCCTGGAGTGCAGAGGTGGGCGGCAAAGTCCCGCCTGCAGCCTGCAGATGTTCACAGTGGCAAACGCTAAGCTGCACCTGCAGCTTCCTCTGTGCCCACGCAATGTAAAGCATGGAGGTTAGGGCCAGGATTTAGCTCAGTGGTTACGCTGCTGCTATGCAAGCGCAAGGACCCAAGTTTGATCCCCGGTACCAAAAAAAAAAAAAGCATGGAGGTTAGCCAAGGGAAAGGCAGGAACCAATCTTATTGTGTAGTATTTCTCTATCAATGAGAGTTGTATTAATCAAGGCACCCTGGGGCTTCTGCTCCTTGCCCTGACACACAAAAGGCCACCTCACCGGCCTGGGACTTAGAGACCCAAAGAAAGGGATGGCCTGGGGACACAGGCCATAATGGGAGCCCCCTCCAGGGGCATCCACCCCTGCCTGGTGCTGTCCCTGGATCAGCCCAGGAATCACCCTTGGGGCCAGTGAAATACACAGCTAAACACAGCACAGAAAGCCTACTCTGTTCACACACACATGCACACACACGCATACGCACATGCACATAATCCGAAAGCTTGCTGGGAATAGAGCCATGCCCCACATAATGACATTTTGGTCAACATCAGACCATCCGTGATATGGATGCACAAGATTACAGAGTATTTCCTACCATCTAAGGACACAGCTATTGTATCACAGCAGTGCAACATACAACTGGTGTTTTTGCAGCAGTGCAGGTGCAAACACACCTGTTGTGCTTCCAGTTGTACACAAGTGAGCACATAGAATTAAGTATAATGCACAACCCTTGATAATAAATGACTGTGTTATGGTGCTCTCTGTACGACACTCCTTATCATCCTCATAGAATGTGTACCTTCTACTTCAAGGGGATCAAGAGTTGGAGGGAACAGAGTGGGAGGGAAGGGTAAACGATGACAAAAAAGAAGAATTAAAATGTATTATGCACATGAAGCAACTCCCCATGATATGTGTAACCATTATGTACTGCAAGCAAGCACTAATTTAAAAAGTTTATTCTAGAACAGTCTTCTGTTACATTGCAGGAGTCTCATACATCTTGTGTTTACTGCATTTTTTTTTTTTTTGGAGACAGAGTCTTGCTATGTTGCCCAGGTTGATGATTTCGTACTCCTAGACTCAAATGATCCTCCTGCCTCAGCCTCCAGTACCTGGGCCTACAGATGTGTGCACTGCACCTAGATACTGTATCTCCCGATTACACCAAGAGGCCAAGCCGAATGATGCCCCAAATGGTGTAAGTTTGTAGGATCACACACTGTGTTTCTCAGAAAGGTCCTGATTAAACAATGTGAGATGGTACAGAACTGGAAAGTGAATTTACCTCCTTTCCTGTTGCTCCCTGCGCTTCTGTGACGCCACCACAGCTGTGTTTATTTCACAGTTCAGACTTTTCTAGAAGCCCACGGTGGGCCCAGAGAGGGCGAGTGCCTTCCTTGCTTTTCCCCTAGGCCTCACCCACCCCTGACCCTCGTGGGACTCTCTAGATGCCATGGAGCTGATTCCAGTTTATTGACAACATTGATGGAAACAGTGAGCTTGGACATTTCTGGGGTAAAAAATACTAAAACTATAATCACATTTAATCTTTGTATGAACCCAGATACTATGTTACATCTCAGGAGACACACAGCTGTTAGGTAAGTGCCTGTGCTTTTTTTTTTTTTTGGTACCGGAGATCGAACTCGGGACCTTGAGCTTGCGAGGCAGGCAGCAGAATCACTGAGCTAAATCCCCGGCCCCTGTGGGGTTTTTTTTTAAGATGGAAAAAAAGTCAGGCGTGGTGGCACACACCTGTTACTCCAGTGCTCAGGAGGCTGAGGCAGGAAGATCATGAGTTCAAGGCCAGCCTGGGTTACATAGTGAGACCCGGTCTTTAAAACAGTAAATGAAAATCTAAATGAATAAAAGATATAATGTTGTCATGCTTTGGAGGCCTAAACATTCCAAATATGGCAATAATCTCCAAATTTATATACAGTTTAAACATGAACTAGGAAGAAAATCTCCCACTCTCTTTTGCTGGATATTAAAACCTGATTCTAGAATTGACATAAGAAAGGTGGTGGCACGTGCTTGTAACCCCAGTCCTTTGACAGGCTGAGACAGGAAGATGCAAGTTTGAGCCCAGCCTGGGCTACTTAGTGAGCAAACCCTGTCTCAAAATTAAAAAATGAAAGGCCTGTGTTGCAAACAAAACAAAACAAAACAAAACAAAAAAACCCAACCCAAGGACAAAACCCCCACCACAACTAATAAATAACATTTTAAGGGCTGGGGATATAGCTTAGTGATAAAGCATTTGCCTAGCTTGTGTGAGCCCCTGGGTTCTACCCTCAGCACACACACACACACACACACACACACACACACACACAC